GATTTTTCTCCATACAAATTTTCTTGTCATATTTTTTTTAAGCATGAAAGGCACGTTTTATCGAAAAATGCATAATGACAAATGTTGATCAGCATTCAAAATGCTATCCAAAACAATTTTTGTTTGCGTGAAATTATGACTTTAGATCGTATGTCCACCTATTTTTAAAATCAAACTACTGTGCGCCCCTTAAAATTTGCTGCCCTAGGCTTCAGCCTTCTCAGCCTGCTGGTAAATCCGCCACTGACGCTTGATAGTACTAATTAATGCACTATTATACTAATCCTATTCATATCTGTGTACTCCTTTTCCCTGGCATGTCAGGGGCTAGGTTTTTTGAAAAATAATCCTAGATACGCCAATGAGAATTGACCTCGCGCATAGACGCGAATAAAATAAATAAATATCCTTGGACATTTTACACTGCGCTTCTAGTCCCAAACTAAGCAAAGCTTGTACTATGGGTACTAGACAACGGATATAAACATACTTAAATACTTTTTTTTTAAATACATACTTATTGTACAGTCGCGGAATGAAAAGGTTCGTCACCTTAGTGTCGGTTTTCGCTTGCACTAGGTACTGTAAGAGTCAAACCTGCCAACATAACAGTGCAAGAAACAGTGCTGCTAACATTTAAATAAATATGACGTTTGCTAACGAATAAGGTTTTGCTTGTTTATTTTTCTATCCCATCAGTGCAATGCAATGATGACATTGACCAATTGGCAATAGTTTTTTTTTATTTTATAAGAAATAATAATGGCAGGTTGAACCAACAAGAAGGTTTTAGTTTATCAATCATAATAATCTTCTTGACAAAATAAATTGTCAAACAACTTTCATATGAATAATTTTGAACTTTACAGACGAACAGTTAAAGATTATTTTCTCTAACTCAAGATTATTCTGTAACATAGTTTCAAAAGGTAATAATTATGTGCTCGCGATTCGTTGAAGGAATCAATTTGAAAACTGACGAACCTTTTCATTCCGTGACTGTACATAGAAAACACCCAGTCTAATACAAATAATTATGTTCATGCACACAAATGCTTGTACTGTGCGGGAATCGAACCCGCTACCTCCAGAATAGTAGTCCGTTTCGAACCGCTTACACCAAACGGGCGACAAAATAACGTATCGTCCGCTCGCAGGAGAAGCACGAGGTGGCGAAGCTGATCGGCGCGCCGCCCGGCTACGTGGGCCACGAGGAGGGCGGGCAGCTGACGCGCGCGCTGGCCCGGCGCGCCGACGCCGTCGTGCTGTTCGACGAGGTGGACAAGGCGCACCCCGACGTGCTCACCGTGCTGCTGCAGCTCTTCGACGAGGTGAGCCACGCAGGACGTGCTGCGCTCAATCAGGGATGTTATGGATATCCGTAACCGTAACCGAAACCGATTCAAAAGTTTTGGATAGTTTCGTATAAAGGCGGAGTTCTAATCTTAATATTTGTAATTTATCTGACATCCCCTAGCACCATTCTAATATACTCGCCTATTTTACCTTTATCATAGATACCGTCATCTATACTTATAATAAATCTGTAGAGAGGTCGATTCTGTACATGAAATAATATTTTCAAAATAACTATCAGGGGGTGATTAGTGATCGATACTGATGCCAAAAATGCAATCAGTAAAATTTTTGTCTGTCTGTCTGTCCGTCTGTATGTTCCTTATAGAAACAAAAACTACTTGACGGATTTTAACGAAACTTGGTACAATTATTCTTCATACTCCTGGGCAGGTTATATATACTTAGGAATTCCCACAGGTTCAGGAATTAGCGGGAAAATCCTTTTGTATCAAAAATCTAAACCGCTTAAGTTAGACGTTTGAAATTTGGCATGTAGGTACCTCAATAAACTTAAAGCTTAGTTACAATAAGGAATTCCCGAAATTCCCACGGGAACGGGAATTAGGGGGAAAATCCTTTTGTATGAAAAATCTAAACCGCTTAAGTTAAACGCTTGAAATTTGGCATGCAGGTACCTTAGTAAACTTAAAGCTTAGTTACAACAGGATATTACAAAATTCCCACGGGAACGGGAGTTAGCGGGTAAAAACATTTGTATGAAAAAATCTAAACCGCGTAAGATAGATGAAGGGGGTAAAACGGGATCCACGCGTACGAAGTCGCGGGCGGCCGCTGGTAGTACATAATCTGGCTATATCGGTCGCGCGGCATCTTGCTATTTGAATTTTACCTTTTAAAATTCTAATATCCGTAACCGAAATTATCGGAAACTTTCGGATAATCCAACCGAAACTTCATATCCATAACATAGCCAGGCTCAAATATACAGACACAACTTCATCCGCAGGGCCGGCTCACCGACGGCAAGGGCAAGCTGATCGAGTGCAAGAACGCCATATTCGTGATGACGTCGAACCTGGCCGCGGACGAGATCGCGCAGTACGGGCTGCAGCTGCGAGGCGAGGCCGAGGCCAGGGCTGCCCAGCGCGCGCGCGCCTCGCCGCTGCCCACCGCCGACCACAAGGGTCAGTGTTTATTTATTTATTTATTTCAAAAGCCGTGTGGTGACGGCAGAGTAGAATACATTTGTCACCAACCCCTACTCTTCCCGCGGGTGTCGTAAGAGGCGACTTAGGGACTACACATCAAACAGAGAATGGGCAGCAGCGCTCTCTGAAAAACATCAATCTTTTAAACTGCGATCTCCAACCCGCCTGCCAAGCGTCGAGATTATGGCAAAACCCTCCACTATAGTGGAGGAGGCTCATAGTCCAGCAGTGGACTGTAAAGGGCTGTTGATGATGATGATTATTTCAAAAATCAAAAGTATTTATTCAGTTTAGACCACAAGCGGCACTTATGAACGTCAAAATATTATTATAGAAAATAATAATAAAAGAAAAGGTAGCCCTTATGGGGCACTTTACATGTCTCCTTATCTTTTGGGCCCTACCAGCGCTTCGAGACAAACATATGGCAAGTGCTGAGAAGAAACGCCGGAACAAACTCAGTCACCACTAATTGCCAGGAATTATCTAACGGTAAGAATAACCAAATTCGAGTACATCAAATATGTGTAGACTGAACTGACCACGCATCCTTGTCATCAATATAGTCTCGAACCTTGTAGTACCCTTTGGACATAAGGGTATTTTTTTCAGAGCAGGTCCAAAGCGCTTACAAGCTTAAAGATAAAATAAACATGTCAAACACTTGCACAGTGTGCACGAGTGTCGACCGCATGAGCCTAGGTACTCGTTTAAATAAACCTTTCAGCTCCTTGTTGCAACGCATCGAGCAACAGAAAACGTCATGCGACTAGAACAAAGCACCAGTAAACTACTACGACTCCATTGTAGTGCCTCGTAGACGCGTAGCGAAAGCGATCGTAGCCGATGGACCAGCTACGTAGTATCCGTTACGGCGTTCGGAGTCTAACTCGTAGTCGTGTAGCAGCATCGTGCAGTCGTAGTGACTCGTAGACGCGTAGCGATCATAGCCGATGGACCAGCTATGTCGTAGTGTCCGCTACGGCGTACTTCAGTGTTCGGAGCTTGTAACTCATAGCCTCAGATCATAGAAGGGAATAGATGTGAAACGGGGGCGTGGCGCGTGTCTCCGCGATATGCCCAGAAACGAACATCGCCCGCGACGCCAGGTTAGTCGNAGATACCCCTTCCCAGCGGTTTCCATAGCGCACGCGACATGCGAAAATGCACTGCCTGAAAGAATCACACAACCTATTCCGATTACTATGGAAACCGCTGGGAAGGGGTAGGGGAGAGGGGGGCAGCTTTGAACAATTTTCATAGTTTATTAAATATCTTCTAAATTTCACTGATTTCATTATTTTTTTCTTTCTAGATAGATGTCATGGTTATCACACAACAAAATAATGATGTTCTTCTTAATTGTTCATGAACGCTTATTAAGATATTTACATTTTTGCACAGACCTGTAAATGTTCAAAACTGCCCCGTAGTCGGGGCAGCCTTGAACACGCCTGGGGCAGTTTTGAATTAGTATTTTTTTCAATGAAATAAAACTGAATATTTATGAATATGTATTTTTTAAATAATTAATAAATAAAATTCTAAATGATCAGTGTCATTTGGGATCAATTTAAAATGTTTATTTTATTTTAAATCACTCTGTACAAAGTAACACAAAACTTAGGGATATTATTAAAAAAAAAGTAAATATAAGATATATCAATTAACTAAATACTAATAAACTTTCTGTTTAATGACACATCAAAGACAAAACTGCATAATTTTAAAAATATCAATCAACTACTAAAACTAGCTTTTGCCTGGACTTCACCCAGCTTGAAATCACTTTTATCGGTTAACCTACAGTTAAATATTAAACATGAGATGTGACAGCTATGCGCATCAGTGCTGGCAATATAAATTATGATTTATACCATTGTAGCATAAATCAGTGATTTTTAAATTCATTTGTTCTAAGCTGCCCCTGTCCAAAGCTGCCCCCCTCTCCCCTATCTTTGTTCAACAATTACGTCGAAACTAATAGACGTAAACTAATAAATTTACATTCGTTTTGTAGAATAGCTCAAATACTAATAATACAATGCAAATAAAACATACCTTAACGACCTGGTTTTTCTTGTGTTGGAAAATAACTGAAAAATAAGTTAAAAAAGTAATGTATTTTTCTAATTAAATCTATTCTCACTCCCATAAAATGTATGAAACTTGTGTCTCTTTTCTTCTTCTACTAATAGATAATTTTATTGGCTATCNTTTACATATCTCTCCTGTGACATGTGATATTCATTACCATTTTTCTTTATGTCGATCCCTAGACAAAAGGTTGCTTGGCCAAAGTCCTTTAGTTCAAACCTCTTTGCCAGTTCCTGCTTGAATTTATTTATGGTTTCTCTCTTGCGTGAAGCAATTAATATATCATCAACATAGATAACGACAAATAGGTCTGCTCCATTATTGTCACATTTATGATACATACAAGGTTCACTCACTGTTGGTCTCNATGTTCAGTGAAAACGCTATAATGATGTAGAATATATCAGACTCGCGCTCAACGTCTATCAAGCTACTGACGTTACGGTAACTACAGAAAAATTGAATATTCCGTTTCGAGCAATGTCTACGCCGGTGATTCGGGCGAGCGTGCGCTGCCTGCGGTCGCTGCGGCGCACGCTGCGGCTGGCCAGCGTGCCGGTGCGGCGCGCGGGCTGCGGCGGCGGCGGCGACCAGCCCCCACGCCCGGCGCCGCGCCACTTCGCGCTCGGGGCGGGCTCCCTAGCGCTCGCGCTGCTCGCAGCTGATCACATTTACAATGGTAAGTGTATATGATATTGCAGGTCATTATCGAGTCTGTAACGTTACTACGTTCAGATACTACTATCTACTGATCAGCGTGTAAAAATTAAATTAAATTGTTCGCTGTTTGTTCGAAATGTTTTAAATTCATCGCTGTATGAGATGACAGTAATAAATGTATCGAGAATATTATCGTCGCCTAATATTATCGACATAACAGCTGAGCTTGGTTTATTTTCAATTTCAGAAAAGAGATTCTTTAAAGCTGCCCAACTGGGGAACGTGGAAGAAATAAGAAGGTACTTGTCCTGTATTCAAATTAAAACAATTTTAACACTTTCTTGGATAGTGAACTGCTATAGCGGTCATAGCAATTAAACTTCTATTGTGTCTGGGTTACTGTCCGGGAAAGTGTTAAGATTAAAAGCAGAAGCATAGCTGTCAAATGGCATGGCAAGACACAAGGGCAAGCATCATCCATCTGGGCCCCCAGTTCGAAGGGCACTTAGACCTTGACTGGCAAATCTCATATTAAACCTGCAGAAATGTTCTCCTACCCTTAGAATGTAAATTGTTAAAATTCAAATAAAAGTCATGAAAAAAAGAACTGTAATCCCATTAAGTTTTGTCCTAGATTTTCTAACTACGCCTCCTAATCAAGTGGTAAGTCGCCGATGACAACATAGATCATCAGGTACCCACTCTAGTTAAATATTTTGCACACGTCTATAAACGCTGTAACTTTGCAACGCGCAGACAAATCGAAGCGTTCGGGGACGGGCGCACTCCGGAGGGCGAGGGCGTGGCGGACGTGCGGCACGCGCTGGGCTGGACGGCGCTCATGGCCGCCGCCGCCAACGACCGCGCCGCCGCCGTGCGCGAGCTGCTGCGCCTGGGCGCGCGCCCCGACCTGCAGGTGAGGGCGGGCGGACGTGCGGCACGCGCTGGGCTGGACGAAACGAGACTCCCGTCGATTTTGTATGGCAATACCTGCCTGTGACGTCACTATTTTTCGACTCAATAAGGTAGTGGTCCCACCGCCGGCAAGTAAACGACTAAAGCCTTGATCACACGTACCGAGTAAACGGGCGAGACAGTAAAATGTTTACTCGGTCGAGAAAGTGATGTAAACGAGTAGCTGTTCACACGTGTTCTGAAATAAGCACAGTCAGTTCAGTTCTATTGAGACTTTTCTTATTCTCTAATCTGTGGACGTGACGTCAATCATTTGGCCGAGTAACGAGTGGCGAGACAGTGCACGTTCAGACCTGCCGAGCGAGCGAGCGAGACAATGCGGGGCAGCGGGAGAGTGGACACTCGGCCTAGTTAGTTGAACGGGAGTCGAGCTACTGTCTCGTCACTTTGCTCGGCCGAGCACTCGGCCGATCACTCGGCGCTATGTTCATACCTCAGATCATAGAAAGAGAATAGATATGAAGTCGCGCGTAACTACAACGAGAACCAGTGTCCCCACATTTCCCCCACCACAGCTCCCACACACACATTCAACTGTGTAAAAACAAAGCGACTGAGAGTCTACGACAACATGTGCAACCGGCTTAAAAGTGCTGTGATTGGCCAGAAGGCGTGCCTTATGGCCAATCAATGGCCGCGTGACGTGACGCACACTTTGAAAAAAGCAATTAGAGAGAAGAAAGATAAAATGGAGTCGATAAGATATCGATACTTTAAATCCTGGGGGCAAGGCTCGAAATTGGTTTAAAAAATGCTTGTATGAAAACCTTTTTATTATTATACGTTATTATTATGTTCTTTAACGATTTTTGCATAAAGGAGTCAGTTCCATTTTGTATGGACGAAAAACTCAGAATCAATTATTGGGACTAAATGAAGTTACCTTATATTAATTTACCCCAACCAAAGCTCAATGTCGTTATCGATGGAGTATAGAAGTTATAGACTGACAAAGTTTGTATGAAAAGTCATGGGTTAAGTAGGTACTTGCGATTTTTACCAGTATTTACAATATTGGTAATATATTATTATTTACTTTAATAATAATAACAGGATCACTGTAATTATTATTAACTACTATCGCGCATTAACTTTTTAATTATGGCGAAATTCGTACCGCCTATGTTTATCAAAAATAATGCCTATATTAGGCTTTCAACTAGCTCTTATAGTAATTACATAGTTGACAGTTACTAATCCCTTCTACTATTGTTATTGTTTTTGTAAAAACTTAAAAATCGCAAGCAACTCATGATTTTTTCATTCAAAATTAGAAAATAGAAAATAATAATTTACTTCTATTTATCGATAATAGGAAACCGTATTAGAACACGAGCCCTGCACTATGTTACGACCGGCACATGCGGCCGTACTGTGTATTTTCACGCGTCAGTGGATATCGGAAGAAATAAAATACATTGCGCAGTAGTTACGCATGACATAAAGTGGTTGCTAACTAAATCGTCAATGTACAACGTGTTTGAATTTTTATCACCACTAATTTCGATATCGCAGTAAATGTCACGGCACTGAATTCGTTCGTAAAAATGTTTAGTTTTTTTATTTATAAGCAAAATACCAATGGATTTGCAATACTTACATGTGGTAAATGACTTCATTGTTCCTGTAGTTCTTCGTTTCACTTATGTTATTGCACGTTACGACGCATTATCCAACAATATCGGAGAACATTTCCTCAGTACGACTGAATCGCGACTAACCTGGCGTCGCGGGCGATGTTCGTTTCTGGGCATATCGCGGAGACACGCGCCACGCCCCCGTTTCACATCTATTCCCTTCTATGATCTGAGGTTCATACGCACCGATTACTCGGCCGAGAGCACTGTCTCACCCGATTACTGGGTACGTGTGATCAAGGCTTAACTATCGGCTATTTTCTCGCTCAAGAAACGTACAAAAGATATCCATTCCGTGTGAACAAAAGAGAAGCATAATTATACAAATAGTTATAATCGCTGACTGTTCTCACTACGACTCGTTTTACTAGTTTTGTCGCTGAGCGACGAGCTTTCATAAATAAATTCGCTCAGCGATACTCGTTCAGCGATGTACATAATATAACGCGCGCGCATTTTTGCACAGGACTGAGCGACCGCGGGCGAGTGGCGCTAGTAATCGCTCGTCGCACTCGCACACTCGCTTATAGCCCGACGATAAAACTATTGAAACTACACACTCACTTCCCGCTGATCGCCAACTCGTTTATATTTTCTAGTTCTACTCGTTTCTCGTTCATCGTTGGCGGTCGGACCGCTCCCTTAAACTACTTACTTTTTCAATTACAAATGCAAACATAAATCTTAATTTACAGGTAACTTCTCTCAGGTAATCTGTCTTTTTAAAAAAGTTGTATTTTAGAATTATTCGGTCGGGAATGGTTAAATACCCAATTTGAGTCAATTTGTTGTGTTTGTTGTGTTGTACTACTATACGAAAATAAATAAATAAAAAAAAATAATGAGGGTTTTCGCGATTGAAAAATCCGCCAGATGGCAATACGTAGACGCGAGGTCCAAATCAAATCAAATTTCTTTATTTGCGTAATTTCAGGTACCTACATAAGTGGTCTTACATAGATTTGGTAGGTTTCACTGAAATTTGCTCGAACTAGGAAGCGTGCAAATATTAAAAAGCCAAATGCTGCATGATTGGTTATTTTTGACATGACATTGACAGATAGGTCAAAATCCACCAATCACGCAGCAGTCAGACCCTACATCCACGTCCCGCCATCTGGCGGATTTTTCAATCGCGAAAACCCTAATTGAATAGCACAATATTCGCATGGCGCCTCCTCGTGCAGGAGCGCTACGCGGGCGCGGCCACGGCGGCGGCGGCGGCGGGCGTGCACCCGCTGGAGGCCATGCAGCGGCGCGAGGACGAGTTCTGCGCGAGCATGAACGCGCGCGCGTCGTTCCTGGGCTGGACGGCGCTGCACTACGCCGCGCTGGCCGACTCGGCCGGCGCCGCGCGCGCGCTGCTCGAGGCCGGCGCCGACCCCACCACGCGCGACCACGCTGGCCGCCGCGCGCTCCACTACGCGCGCGACCCCTCGCCCGCGCGTGACCTCATCCTGCAGGTCAGGCCCGCTTCGTAGGGACGAAGATTTTTTTTTCTTTTGTTTTGTGGTTTGATCATGCGATCGGTCCTTAAAAACTATAAGCAGATGGGGTGGATTCTTTTCGACATTTAGGGCACTGCTCCCAGCTTAAACAGGCCTTTCTTTTTCTCAATTTCATGTTAATTTTCAGACTAATTGTCAAAGATATCCCACCGCTTCTTAAGCCGCCGTATGGTTTCTGGGGTAGTAAGCTGCCCTGCCAACTGGTTCGGGTGCTTTGACAGTCTTAGTTTGTAGCTTTTTCCGTGTCTATCTCTTGCTTCACTATAGGCACGTTCAATAACTCTTGCAGCTCTGTTGTTGTTATAAACCATGGACAAGGAATAGAACAAACAACTTGTAACACTCGGCAGAGTGCAACCTGCCACGGCAGACGCAGTTCCGCGCGTATCTCCCGCGATTCGGCCAGTTATAACCGAAAGGTTGGAATGGCCAAAGTGGTGGTGGGTTGTCCCTATCAAAAGGTCAGGCCAGCTGCCACACCGTCAGAGCTGGATGCCGGAAGCTGACGTCTCTCGTCTCCGATATATTCGAATAATATAAAACAATTTTATTTACATCTATGCCGCCATTACTCTTCTGATCTTCTCTGTAATATTTGTTTGTATTCTGTTCATCTATTGCATCGATTGGTTTTCCTTTTTAATATTTGAAAAAAAGTTTTCAATGTTTAAGCGTTCGGTTTTCTTAATCGAATGCACCGGACTGAAGTGAAGTGGTGTTGACAGCACACGCGGCGGTGGGAGCAGGCCGCCGCGGCCGCCGCCGCCGAGGAGCGCCGCCGGTTCCCGCTGGAGCAGCGCCTCAAGCAGTACATCGTTGGACAGCAGGTGACACGCAGCGCAACACCCTCAAGGCTTCGGCAGACCAAACGCGGGGCAGTAACAGCACATCAGTGCAGTTTGAATGCGGGCCCGCGCAAGTTGTAATACAAGGAACTCTTTGAAGTGTGTCACACCAAATTTGAACGGCCCGCGCTCCAACTGCGTCTCACTACAACTGCCGAACGACAAACCAGGCGGCGCGGGAGCGGGACAGAAGCGGCGCGAGCGCAGGCCCGCGCTGTTGTATTACTATTTATTTATTTATTTATTTATTAGGGACATCAACAGCTTACAGATTTCAATGTAACATTAGACTATGGCGGCCATATTACCATGACTCTCCGGAGGCAGGGCGGTAGCAGTGCAGCGCAGCGCGTTGAAAGCGGTTTACGAATATTGTATTTTTTTACAACCGCCCGCGTTGCAACCGCTTTGAAACTGCCGCTGCCTTCAGTGTGCCTACTGCCGCGCTGCAACTGACCCGCACTGCTTCTGTCCCGCGTTTGGTCTGTGGAAGCCTTCAATGTTGATCAATTATATTAAAATCACGCTATAACTAAAGCCTGGTCCGTGAGCACGCTCGCACACTCACTGCGGGCGCGCGTCGCACAGTCGCGACAGCAATATAATTACGCGCGAGCGATAAGGATGGGTAGCTTGGGGTCACTGGACAAAATTCTACATGCTCACGGACCAGGCTTTAGTGTATCTTATCACGCAGGCGGCCATCGAGACGGTGGCGGCGGCGGTGCGGCGCAAGGAGAACGGCTGGGCGGACGAGGAGCACCCGCTGGTGTTCCTGTTCCTGGGCAGCTCGGGCATCGGCAAGACGGAGCTGGCCAAGCAGCTGGCGCGCTACATGCACCGCGACGACCCCGCCGCCTTCATCCGCCTCGACATGTCCGAGTACCAGGTACCACGAGCGACCGGGCCGGGGGTAGAGTTGCCAGGCGTCCGGATAAAGCCGGACATACTTAGGTTTTTGATTGCGTGTCCGGCCAAAATAACCGATGTCCGGCCTGTCCGGCTGTTGTTAGGCTTTTTATTTGGCTGCCGCGCCAGGCGAAAGTCGAGCCACAGAATAAGGCACGCACGCATCAGGACGTTAGGCAACCGATGATGATAGTACTCACTCGTGAGCTCACTAATTGACTCACACGTGAGTCGCATGTCCGGCTTTTAGGGTAAAATGTCCGGCTAAATGAAGCACAGAGTCCGGCTTTTGTGTTTTTGGACCTGGCAACCCTAGCCGGGCGGAAGGGAGAATTCACATGCGCGTATATTATACTGAGGCCGGGGTGGCTCAGAATGGTCTGGTACCCTCCCAGGACTTTGGGCTACTGATTCGAAGATGATGGTTGACAGTGGCGGATTTACAGATTTACCGCCCGTAGGCTTGAGCTTGTTTTGACTGACCTTGGCAAACATTCCGAAATACGTATCTAATTTGTGTATGTAAAAAATAATTATGATCTAAATCTGCCGCCCCTTAAAATTTGCTGTCCTAGGCTTCAGCCTTCTCAGCCTGCTGGTAAATCCGCCACTGACGCTTGATAGTACTAATTAATGCACTATTATACTAATCCTACCCATATCTGTTTAATAATCACACTCCCTTCCCCTTGGTACATCAGGGGCCAGGTTTTCTGAAAAATAACTCTAGATACGCCAATGAGAATTGACCTCGCGCATAGACGCTAATAAAATAAATAAATATCCTTGGACATTTTACACTGCGCTTCTAGTCCTAAACTAAGCAAAGCTTGTACTATGGGTACTAGACAATGGATATAAACATACTTAAATACTTTTTTTTTAAATACATACTTGTCTTATTGTACATAGAAAACACCCAGTCTAATACAAACAAAGAATTATGTTCATGCACACAAATGTTTGTACTGTGCGGGAATCGAACCCGCTACCTCCAGAATAGTAGTCCGTATCGAATCACTTACCACAGAATAATAATAAGTACTACGTACAGAAGTTTTACTTCGCGAAGGTATTTAAAAAAATGTATGCTCAATGTCATTAACAATATGGTGTAATTTAGCATGTCTCAAGATTCAAGCACCATTTTGTTGACAAACGTCAGTGATCGGCACCGGGCCGAAGCTATAGGGCAATTTTTTTCCATTATACACAAGAATACGCGTGGGTGAGTCATTTGCTCGCTCGTATGTGAGGCCTTGTCGAATAGTAATCCTGTAAGGTGCCATCGTGCGTGTTTTGTTTTCGATGTAAACTCGCGGAGATGAACAGGCCTGGCCATATATGTTTCAGGATCACTTTGTATATCAACAGTTTGTTGTCGATCGACACGCAAATGAAAGTAACGTATTCCGCCGCAGGAGAAGCACGAGGTGGCGAAGCTGATCGGCGCGCCGCCCGGCTACGTGGGCCACGAGGAGGGCGGGCAGCTGACGCGCGCGCTGGCCCGGCGCGCCGACGCCGTCGTGCTGTTCGACGAGGTGGACAAGGCGCACCCCGACGTGCTCACCGTGCTGCTGCAGCTCTTCGACGAGGTGAGCCACGCAGGACGTGCTGCGCTCAATCAGGGATGTTATGGATATCCGTAACAGTAACCGAAACTATTGGATATCCGAATTAAAAAATATATCCGTAACCGAAACAGATTCAAAAGTTTTGGATAAAGGCGGAGTTTAAATGTTAATATTTTTAATATTTGTTACTTATCTGGCATCTCCTAGCTCCATTCTGATATATTCGCTTGTTTTACCTTTATCATAGGTACCGTTATCCTACTTCCTACTAATATTATAAATGCGAAAGTCTGGATGTCATGATGTCTGGATGTTTGTTACTCTTTCACGCAAAAACTACTGAACGGATTTTGATGAAACTTTACAGTATTATTGTTTATAACCCAGAATCCTACTAATATTATAAATGCGAATGTTTGGATGTCATGATGTCTGGATGTTTGTTACTCTTTCACGCAAAAACTACTGAACGTATTTTGATGAAACTTTACAGTATTATTGTTTATAACCCAGAATAACATATAGGCTATAATTTATAACGATCTGTGACAAACGAAATTATACGCGGGCGAAGTCGCGGAAAAAGATAGTAGTACATAAAGTAGCTATGTGCGTCGCGCGGCATCTTGCTATTTGAATTTTACCTTTTAAAATTCTAATATCCGTAACCGAAATTATCCGAAACTTTCGGATAATCCAACCGAAACTTCATATCCATAACATTCGGCTCAAATATACAGACAACTTCATCCGTAGGGCCGGCTCACCGACGGCAAGGGCAAACTGATTGAGTGCAAGAACGCCATCTTTGTGATGACGTCGAACCTGGCCGCGGACGAGATCGCGCAGTACGGGCTGCAGCTGCGAGGCGAGGCCGAGGCCCGGGCTGCCCAGCGCGCGCGCGCCTCGCCGCTGCCCACCGCCGACCACAAGGGTCAGTGTTTATTTATTTATTTATTTCAAAAATCAAAAAAATCAAAAATCAAAAGTATTTATTTAGTTTAGACACATTCGTCAAAATATTATTATAGAAAATAATAATAAAAGAAAAGGTAGCCCTTATGGGGCACTTTACATGTCTCCTTATCTTTTGGGCCCTACCAGCGCTTCGAGACAAACATATTATCGTCGGCCGTTTGGTGTAGTGGTTCGAAACGGACTACTATTCCGAAGGTAGCGGGTTCGATTCCCGCACAGTACAAACATTTGTGTGCATGAACATATTTGTTTGTATTGGACTGGGTGTTTTCTATGTATAATAAGTATGTATTTACAAAAAAAAAAGTATTTAAATATGTTTATATCCGTTGTCTAGTACCCATAGTACAAGCTTTGCTTAGTTTGGGACTAGAAGCGCAGTGTAAAATGTCTAAGGATATTTATTTATTTATTTATTTATTTATTTATATAGCAAGTGCTGAGAAGAAACGCTGGAACAAACTCAGTCACCACTAATTTCCAGGAATTATCTAACGGTAAGAATAACCAAATTCAAGTCAAATATGTGCAGTATTGTGCAGACTGAACTGACCACGCGTCCTTGTCATCAATATAGTCTCGAACCTTGTAGTACCCTTTGGACCTAAGGGTATTTTTTTCAGAGCAGGTCCAAAGCGCTTACAAGCTTAAAAATAAAATAAACATGTCAAACACTTGCACAGTGTGCACGAGTGTCGACCGCATGAGTGGTGCAAACGCCTACTCGTATAAACCTTTCAGCTCCTCGTTAAAACGCATCGAGTAACAGAAAACGGGGTGCGCCAAAGTTCACCTAAATTTTCAACTCCGAAAATTGGAAGTCCGAAAATGTTCCTCCTAAAATTTTTCATCCTAACAATCACAATTCCTAACTACTCTGTCTCTAATGTTCATAATTCCGAATCATTCAACTTCATAATGTCATTAGCAATAAACATCTATTATACTTTTATTTGTTCTCCTAGATTTTCTAAACATAACCATATTTTACACTATTATTCAAAGTCATATCTTTTTTGTTTAGATTTCTTTCTTTGACGATATATTAAAGTTCAAGTTTGTTGGCATTAGCACGTACGAGGGCTGCACTAAAAGTATCGGGAATGGAATATTTCCACTGTTCCTATCATATTAAAATATTTTTAATTGCAAACTCCTTGGTTTTAAGCATCGAATACCATTTATTTATTTAAAAAAAGATTCTCGGTCTTATCACAAGGTCTTGTGAAACTTGTTTAGTCGCTGAGAAAATGGAATTGACTCGAGAAAATTCAAGAGCGATGATTTATTATGACTTTCGGAGTGGTTTAACACAAAAACCGTGTGTTGACCGGATGATTTCTGCATTTGGTAATGAAGCCCCATCCATAACCACAATTTATCGCTGGTTTGCTGAATTTCAACGTGGACGTGTCAAGCTCAGTGATGGTCCCCGTCAAGGTCGTCCAAAAACTGCAGTCACCCAATAAAACGTTGATGCTGTGCGTAAGCTGATTGAAGAAGATCGACATGTGACATACCGCGAAATTCAGGCAACTTTAGACATTGGCATGAGTCAAATACAAATAATCTTGCATGAACAATTAGGTGTAAAAAAGTTGTTTTCCCGATGGATGCCGCATTCGCTCTGTGAAGAGCAAAAAGCGGCTCGCGTTACTTAATGCGTCAGAACTCTCGGAAGATTACACTTTAAATGCTAGGTTTGTATTGTCGGCCGTTTGGTGTAGTGGTTCGAAGTGGTAGCGGGTTCGATTCCCGCACAGTACAAACATTTGTGTGCATGAACATATTTGTTTGTATTGGACTGGGTGTTTTCTATGTATAATAAGTATGTATTTACAAAAAAAAGTATTTAATTATGTTTATATCCGTTGTCTAGTACCCATAGTACAAGCTTTGCTTAGTTTGGGACTAGAAGCGCAGTGTAAAATATCTAAGGATATTTATTTATTATTTATTTTATTTATTAACTTTTATCTCAAGAACAAAATCTATTTGACATATTTCCATCCTACAATTGGTGAAATATCAGCCCCAGAACAAATATCTTTTCTATGGCAGAATAAGAAACACCAAAAAATCCTTTATCAAAACAATGACACGTGTCGTAAGATGATTCAATGTTTAAAGTAGACCACGCAGACACGGTAATATTATCATACAGTATTGTAACTTCATATAAACGGACAAAACGCGAGCTTTAATTCGAAATTCAAATCTCGGTATGCGCTCGACATGCAAAAGTCGGAGGTGTCGCGAATGTGCAATCGGACGATGTGTTGTTTTTAAAACAGTAAGCGCTCTTTTTTTATAAACATAATTACAAGTACCTATTTATACAGGGTATAATATAATGATATCAATTTTCTGACTTCATCATACCATTTATAAGAAGGTATAATCATGGACTAGTGTCGGCTTATAAACCCATTTACCTAAACACCCTGCATCAAGCATTTTGTACGCCTAAGTCGAGACGCATACATTTTACGGTCGTAAATTTATAAGATTTGTAAATCTTAACACAAATATATTCTTTTAATTAAATCTACTAATCACAAAACAACATGCATTTTTATCCTATTTCATTCACAAAGTATTTTGTTTGTCAAAATAAAATTAAGATTACAATCACAAAATACATTCACAATACTAGATAAAAATTCAAAGTAGGCAGATGTCATGAAAATAGGTCTGCAAGGCAGGCAGCCCTATCGCATCTTGTCATACGGTGACATTCCGCGCGGCTGTTGACATTTATTTCAAAAATATGGCCGAGTTGGAATACTGTATAGATATTATTACCGTGACGCAGATATGAATTGTATAGATAGATTAATTACGTACGATAGACGTACATATGTATGTATAGATAGATTAATTCATATCTGCGTGGTCTACTTTAAACATTGAATCATCTTACGACACGTGTAATTGTTTTGATAAAGGATTTAAATAAAAATGAATTGATGTTTGTTAGTCTGATTAAAACTCGAGAACGGCTGGGCCGATTGAGCTGATTTTGGTTTTAAAATGTTTGTCGTAGTCCAGGGTAGGTCTAAACGGTGAGCAAATACGCGCGCGATATTGTTTTTCTGTAACAGACAAAATTCCACGCGAGCGAAGCCGCGGGCGGAAAGCTGTATGTAATAGAAAGAGAGGTCAATAAGTCAAAATGACTAGCATGCAACTACTCGCGTATAAATTGTAATCACGCACTTATTACAATACATACATGATTAGTCCGTATGCGTACTGGCGATGTATATTTTGGAGGAAGATAATTGACCTAAGTCACTACAAAGTATACGCGAGCAGTACGCAGCGTATGCGTACTGGTCGTGTATAGTTTGGAGGAGCTTAGTAAAAAAAGTCATATCCAAACTATACTCGATTAGTTTCACACCCTTGCGTTCTGGCTATGTATAGACTGGAAAGACGCGGTGCCGCGGTGTTCGGAGAACTCGTAGTCGTGTAGCAACATCGTGCAGTCGTAGTGACTCGTAGACGCGTAGTGATGGTAGCTAATGGACCAGCTACGTCTTAGTACCCGCTACGGCGTTCGGAGTCTGTAACTCGTTGTCGTGTAGCAGTATCGTGCAGTCGTAGTGTTCGCTACGGCGTACTTCAGTGTTCGGAGTTTGTAACTCGTAGCCGTGTAGCAACAGTGTGCTGTCGTAGTGACTCGTAGACGCGTAGCGATCGTAGTTGGTGGATCGTCTGCTACGGCGTACCCCATAATTTATTAGGCCTCAGCCTCGAGTTTAGCGGGCAGCGGGGCGGGAGCGGCGGCGGCGCGGGAGCGGGGCGGGCAACACAGACCCGTTCTCGAAACAAGCGGGCAGCTCGCGCGGCGCTTTAGCGGCGAAGTGTTGTGTTCGGGGTTGTGTTGTCGAGATATTTGTTTTTATTCGCAAACGAAATGTCTGAACAACGCGGCGACAATTTTATTTCGATTCAAATTTATTCCTAACGCTCGATTTATTCTTGTGGGCAAAAGAAGGAGTGCGCTGCCCGCTCGTTGCCCGCTCCCACGCCGCTGTTTTCGAGAACCGGTCTATCTGATTTTACGCATAAGATCCTGCCGCTCCCGCGCCGCTACCGCCGCCGCCCCGCTGCCCGCTAAACTCGAGACTGAGGCCTTATTGTGTGCGTCCTGCACAGTCGTAGTGACTTGGTAGACTCGTAGCAGCCAGTTGTCGTAGCGAGTAGCGACTGGTGTGGTGGCTCGTAACAGCTGTAGTATGTCTCGTCGTAGTAGTTTTACCTCGACGTGTTTTCGGGTAACACATCTATTCGCTTGTAGCGTCTTCTCCATATTAATAGGATGTAACCTCCACGCAAAATTATCTTGAATAGAATTTCTGTAACGTACAGTAATGCGCCTCATTATGACTCAAGCAATAACTTGCAATTTTTCACTCAGTGGAGGTTCGCGCCGTCACGCCAGTCGCCGGCGTCGTGGAGAAACCGTCGTCGGAAACGTTGCAAGCGTCGCACCGCTTCCGCGAGGGCCTGGTGCGCGCGGCCCTCCAGCGGCACTTCGGCCGCGACGAGTGCCTCGGTGTGTGCCACGGCTGCCGTTACAACCGCGTTTTGACGTACACCAGTTTATGAAAATTCGATCGCCCGTTTAAAAATGAGTGCAACCCTGTCGTCAGGTTCAGCCTCGGTACCTACGTTCGCTGACATCCCTCCGTTTGTCCGACAGTGGAGGCGCGCGACAAGGCGCCGGTGCCGGTGGCGGACGAGGCGTCGGAGCCGCTGGAGGTGTCGCGGCACTTCAAGGACAGCGTGGTGCGGCCCATCCTCAAGCGGCACTTCGGGCGCGACGAGTTCCTCGGCCGCATCAACGAGATCGTGTACTTCCTGCCCTTCTCGCGCCAGGAGCTGCTCACGCTGGTCAGCCTGGAGCTCAAGCGCTGGGCCGACAAGGCGCGCGCGCGCCACGCCGTCGAGCTGCGCTGGGAGGGCGGCGTGCTCGGCTGCCTCGCCGACGGGTCGGTGCCCCTTGCGATTTTAATGTCTAATTTTCCTATACAATGTATTTTGTTTTTGGAATAAATAAATGTGAATGTGAAATGTGATACTCTGCGTCGGCTGAGCGGCCGCCCGGCGCCATGACTAAGGCCTCAGCCTCGAATTTAGCGGGCAGCGGGGCGGGAGCGGCGGCGGCGCGGGAGCGGCAGGATCTTATGCGTAAAATCAAATAGACCGGTTCTCGAAAACAGCGGCGCGGGAGCGGGCAACGAGCGGGCAGCGGCGCGGAAGCGGGCAACGAGCGGGCAGCGCACTCCTTCTTTTGCCCACAATAAATCGAGCGTTAGGAATAAATTTGAATCGAAATAAAATTGTCGCCGTTGTTCAGACATTTCGTTTGCTAATAAAAACAAATATCTCGACAACACAACCCCGAACACAACACTTCGCCGCTAAAGCGCCGCGCGAGCTGCCCGCTTGTTTCGAGAACGGGTCTGCGTTGCCCGCCCCGCTCCCGCGCCGCCGCCGCCGCCGCCGCCGCCCCGCTGCCCGCTACACTCGAGGCTGAGGCCTGACGTCCCGTCTGTTGCAGCTACGACGTGCACTACGGCGCGCGCTCCATCAAGCACGAGGTGGAGCGGCGCGTGGTGAACCAGATCGCGCTGGCGGCCGAGCGCGGCGCGCTGGCCCGCGGCTGCAGCGTGCTGCTCACCGAGCGCGCCGGCCGCGTGGCCCTCGCCGTGCGCCGCCCGCCCAGCCCCGACTACACGCCCGTCGACCTGCACGCCGCGTGAGTGTGGCCCCCGGGGCCCCCGCGCCCGCCCAGCCCCGACTGCACGCCCGTCGACCTGCACGCCGCGTGAGTGTGGCCCCCGGGCCCCCCGCGCCCGCCCAGCCCCGACTACACGCCCGTCGACCTGCACGCCGCGTGAGTGTGGCCCCCGGGCCCCCCGCGCCCGCCCAGCCCCGACTACACGCCCGTCGACCTGCACGCCGCGTGAGTGTGGCCCCCGGGCCCCCGCCGTGCGCTGCCCGCCCAGCCCCGTGAGTGTGGCCCTCGGCCCCTTGGCCCCCCGCCGCGCCCGGTCCCGACTAACAACAGTGGACTTGCACGCTGCGTGAGTGTGGCCCCCCGGTCCCTGGCCCCCCAGCGCTCGCCGCGGCCCGCCCTGCCCTAACTACACACCCGTGGATTAGCACGTCGTCTAGCATGTACCTTAATATTACTTTTAGGTGTTCTCCCACTAAGTCAAAAAAAATCTGCTAACTAATCTCCCTTTATATTTTTCCACACTTTTTCTAAAATACATAGAATGAAGCTTATCGTATGTTTCCTTGTAAAATATTCTACTCATACTATTTTTTATCCCACACAGATGAAGACGAATGAAGCCCCTAAAACAAAACATCGTAAGGGTGCAGCTGTCATTCCGAGCTAGCGCCAGCCTCCACGGCGTGACGTCACCGTGCTGGACCGGGTACGTCACTCCTTGTTACCGACGACCGCGAATTGACCAAAGAACGCACCGGTCTATATTTTATTAGGTTATTACGTAACTCAGTAGCCGCATAATATATTCTTATTCAGAAATACAGTATTTTATTCAGACAACCCAGTTCCGATACGTCATTCCTTTTTTATTTTTTTCTTTGGCCAATTTTCGAATTTTTCTTTTTACTGTTTTTCCTGAATTCACATGATAATTGTTTTATACTTACAAATCGACATTCTAATTGATTGATGATCTATATGGAAATTATCCATCATATTATGGAAAACTATTGTTTGATTATATTTGTGTTTCACAAAGCCTAAAACAGTCTGCACATCTGACTAACTGTACCTCTAGTAGGAAAAACTTTCGAGTTCGTTTCGTTGCGTATTCAAAGTGTCATCGAAAAATTTTGTATGAAAAATTAAACAGCGCCCCCTAGGGCGGCTATAATATAGGGGGCGCTGTTTAATTTTTCATACAAAATTTTTCGATGACACTTTGAATACGCAACGAAACGAACTCGAAAGTTTTTCCTACTAGAGGTACTGAATAATAAAATTAGTGAGAAATTCTTCACCGAACCCATAACTTTCCCAGGTACGGTCCCGAATACAAAATTGATCGTTAAGATGTGTGGAAAATAGTATTCTTAGAATACGTGGTTCTTGATTGGTTTACAATCGTGAAACCTACCATCGCTAAACAATAAAATAAAGAACGTTTGATTGCATACAAATTCNACAAATACGCGGATGCTTTACCTCATATATCACTCATGAAGTATTTCAATTCAAAATTTCAAAACATTTTAAAAATCCAACTGTGTGAGTTAAAGTGGATGTGAAAAGTTAACGAAGTTTATCAAATTAATATCACTTCTATATTTCTATAATTGTTGTAAAAATATGAGATCCCTGCCGTCTCCAATTCTTTGTTTTAAAAATAAACTGAAACACGATCAATTTACTTCGTGTCCCGTGAATATTGCGAATCTGAGTTCAGATGCCGTTCTGCTAGAGGGTTGAAAATTAAAGACAGGAGTAAATAGTGCTTATTTTATTAAAGTTCGCACCGTTATATACAAATACAATGTATAAATAAATAACAATCTTACAAAATATAATAGTTGCCGCTCGAGCGCGTGGAAGGCCTCTGTCGCACGCGGCTCCGGCTGCGAGCGCGGGCCGGCGGGAGCGCCTCCCGTACCGTGCTCCACCCACTCCCCTTGCGCTCCTGCAGCCCTGATGCCGTCCGTTACCCAGGGACGGTGTTATATGAAATCTTGGAATTATAATTACAGTCTTAAGTACTATGTACCATGTGTACTATGGATTATTAGATTTTGGGTCTGATTATGATATCTGAAGTCTGTGAAGTCGTGTTATAGGTACGATAATGTTCTGGGCAAAACTTATTAATCGGAACGGAGTAGCGTCGTGTTTGTTGGCTTTATAGAATCGATGCTTTTTCAAATAGTACTGCTGACTTAATATTTGTCGATCCATGATGTTACATTTCGGATACAGTTTTATCGGTGTGACTTTTTAGGCCGTTCAGTGAATGTTTTAATGAAGTACCTACGATGTAGGCAGTTGCTTGCGTCAATGAGTAGGTACGAAACACGAGTGCGCTCCCCTCGGGCCCGCAGGCCCGCCTCGGCGCCCGCGCGCCCGACCAAACGAAGCGCTCACTTCAATTATTTATATTATAGGCCGTAAATAACTTATTTTAACTCGCAACATCGCTCTGGTGTAAATAAATAGATGACGTTGAATGTCACGCAAGTATTATTCCAAAATGTTACCATACATACTTCATTCCCATATTTTACATTAATACCGGGGTCATCATATTATGACAATAATTAATACGCACATTGTATATTCTGTAATCGACTCTGTCTCTTGAAACTTGTTGAAACCCAGTGGCTATAACGCCGGTAAATTTTTAGTTAAATATAATGTGCTTGCACGCTACCCTACAACAAGTATACGCTTCGATATGATTATGTTTACGCAGTCGTATTCAAATTCAAATATTTTTGTGCTATACAAAATAATCATTTTGACCCAGTTTCCTGGTTTTCAACTTCTTTAACTGAAGTTAAAAGCGAAAACGACCACTTTTTTCAATAATCTCAGACAGAACAAAATATCATCAGTATGTCGTATCACTAAAAACTAAGTAAGTACCTATTTATAGTTCTAACACTTAATTCAGTGAGTGCCTGAGGTATGGGAGCGGTACGGGAGGGGCGACATTGACATATTATATCGTGACAGAGAATATAGATGAACTACACTGAAATGTCCCACCGACGACATTGACAGCAGGGCGCCACCATCTTCGTGCAACTATATGGTTTCCACCGTGGCAAAAGTCGGAACTAGCGATCCGCTATTGACGGTGGCCCCCCTGTCAGTGTCAAATAAAGGACAGTTCAGTGTAGTTCATCTATACATATCTGAAGTGTCACTGACGTTTGACGTCTTAAAAACCCCCTCCCGTGCCGCTCCCATACCTCAGGCGCTGACTGAGTTAGGGGCTAAATCTATAAAATGCTTTATTAGATGCTTCGTTTTGTCGGGTGCACGATACATTGCTTTAATAAAATGCTCTATACTGAATTTACTATTACATATATCCATATCTTGTAGTAAACCAAACATATCTGTTGCCTCATAGAATATATCGTAATTTATTATAAGAATGTAAAACTTTGTGATCACATATGATTTAATCAATAAGTATTGCGTCAAATGTATATTATCTTACCTATCTAGGCCTACGCCCTATCTAACCTACGTGTCTTATAAAATCAGGGGTGATCATCTCGGGTTTAGGAAAGTAGGTATAACATGTTTTTTGAAAAATCCCTGTTTCATGTTGTTCGTTCTTACTTATTAGGTAATTACCGCTATTTTATGTGCGCCGACTGAGTAACTTATTATTGGAAAACTTTCTGGAACACATCATTTCTATTAACTTATTAGCACTTAAACTAAGTACAACGCAACGCGTAGGAAGGTATATAAAATATTTTGCTTATAAATACGTAACTACATCTTAAAATTTCACTTGTAACTACATAACTAATTGGTGTTCAATAAAATATGCCTTCGTTAATATAATTAGGAAGATCTACCGACTACTAGGTAATATGTGTATATTTATTATTTCTATTAGGAGCGACTAGCCTTAAGTGCAAACAGCAAATATTTGCAATATTCGATGCCCGGGAAATTCTCGTGTACTTGTGGCATAGCTCATTCGTGACTACTAGTAATATTTTCCCTATTTACTGAAAACCGGTCTCGATCAAAGGCAGGGGATGTTTTTGAGAGGACTAGAAACCGATAGAAGCACTTTCAAATCTCATATTTCATATTAATGTTATTACGCCTGCCTTGATTTTTGGATTTAGTCTAATATTTGGTGTTATCACCCATATTTTATTACCCTTACGATCTTAAAGATAAATAATGATGATGATGATGATGCGCGACACTGACGTTATTGTGGTTTTAATTTGAAATGATCATATCGCCTGTATTTACATTGAATAAATACACCCATTATAAAACTTTTTCTGTGACCGAATTTAGGTAATCGTACTAAAAGTCTATATTTATATCACAATAGAAAAATTGGTCGTAATGATAACTAACCATTACACTTAAAATTACTTGAAGATTGTGACGGCACATAACGTCTAGTGTTGCGCTCAGTAGAAGTACCAACACATTTATTACTCCTCATCGATCACTAAAGCTAAGTATTACATACCGTACTTGGTTGTTTTCTATTCGGACGTTTCTTACAAACTTTACTGAGATCGCTTCGCGATCGCCACGGAAATGTAGCGACGTACGCAAGTTTGTTTAGTTTTCTCAAAACTAGTGATATACTAAATTATGCTCGGACGATCAAAGAAATTGATATTTTGTGCTCTCTTGTCATTATTTATCACACAGTCGACTTCGGTCAAACATTACTCAGTTTCTTTTCACTGGAATGAGTTTCCGTCGACACACGCGGCGAGGCCACCGAAGCCGCGGTCAGTCTACAGAACCGCGAGCGAAAATGTTCTTAAATAGGAATCGTTTTCCGCGCTCATCGGGCCGGACGACTCGCGCCCGTCAGAAGACGCTCCCTCGCGCGGCGCAGGCGGCTCCTCGGAGCGGCTAGAGCCAGCCGGCCGAGTGGTGCGGCGCGTGGCCGTGCAGCGGCGTCACGCCCGCCAGCCGCGCCAGCGCCGCGCAGCGCCCGCACGTGGCGCCCGCGCCCGCGCCGCCGCCCGCCGCCTCCGGCTCCTCGTCCGGCGCGCTCGCGCTCGAGCANACCCGCGCCGGCACCGAGCTGGCGCGCTGCAGGGCCTCAGGGCCCGCGGGGGCGCGGGCGGGCCGGCCGCGCTCCTCCGTGCGAGACTCCTGAGCGCCTGAAAAAGTTCGACACTGATTTGTAAAATTAATTGGCGAACTTAAAAATCTTTAATCGATAGGCGATTCGTTAGATTCCTTCGAGCCTAATATTTAAAACCGGTCACTGAGATGCGAGCGCCGAGCGCTCCTACCTGCGGCGGCTGCGGCGGCGGCGGCGGCGGAGCGGCGCGAGTCGGAGAACTTCTTGCGCTTGCGCTTGAGCGCGGCGAGCGCGCTGAGCGGGTGCAGCGGGCCGCCGCGCGCGCGCTCCGGGCTGCGCTGCGAGTCGCTGCCCGACTCCGAACGCTCGCTGCCGCTGCAATACATGTATCGACATCGATTTTTAATACTGAGTGTAGAAAGAAGAATGCCTAAAAATTTCTGCAGCGAGAAAACATCGAGCCGATGTCTACCCGCAACCGAATCGATTTATCGATTCGATGATGAAACATAAGCACCGCTCGTCCAGTTCGGGATTCCGAAGTTCAACATTCGAGCCGACGTCGACGCTCACCTGGGGGATTGCCTGGTGTGGTCGCACACGGAGTCCTCGGAGCGCGAGCGGCCGATGAGGCGCGACAAGCGCGCCGCCCGCGCCGCCTCGATGATGGTGCCCCAGCGGCGCTTGTGCGGCGCCGGCTTGCGGCGCGTGGAGCCGCCCGCCGCCGCGCCGCCCGCGCCGGCGCCGGGCGCGTCGGACAGGCTGGACTGGCTGGTGCGCAGGCGGCCGCCGGCGCCGCCCAGCAGCGCGCTGAGCGAGGCGTGGTGCGCGTGGCCGCCGCCGTGCTCGTGGTGCAGCGACGCCAGGAACTCGTCCACCGGCGCCAGCGAGCCGCCCGGCGCGATGTTGAACCCCTTCATCAGGCGCCGCTCCTTCTGCCGGTTCTTCTTGCCGCCGCCCCCACCTGCGCACGCGGACGAACGTGAAGCCAAACAATGAGCTATCTAACTGAGAACCAGGAATACGGCTAAAGTTTTTCGAAAGTTTAGCTCGAAAAGCAAAGAACGTTTCTAAACGGGGCACCCGGAAGATCGTCATGCGTCAGCTCGCATACCGGGAGCACCTGCGTTGGCCGTGGACGTGTTCATGCCGGAGTTGCGCAGGATCTCGACCAGCTCGCAGCGGAAGGCGCTGACGTCCTGCTTGATCTCGTTGACGTCGTCCTCCGTCACGCCGCCGCTCTCCGCGCGTCGTTGCTGCACCGTCACGTAGCGTCGCACCAGGTTTCGCATTATAGCCTGAAAATAGCACTTTTTGAACGACCGATACCCACTCGTACATCCGATTACATCGTGTTGACCGTTTTCGAAGCCTCGATCGATCGGACATTTTAAAAATAACGAGTAACTGTATACAATCTATTACCTGATATCTGAAATCTCGCTCGTTTGCTTGTTTTGCTTTTCTCTGAAAACGAGAGCAGACCGATTAGTTCGTATAATTGAGCCACGTTTATATGGACGGTGGTGAGTGGTGCCGCGCGGCGTACCCGGATGGTGCGCATGTGCTCGCGCTTGGCGCGCGCGTGGCCGCACATGCGGCGCTGCAGCCAGCGCCAGGCGTACAGCAGCGACTTGGGCGACGGCACCACGTTGAAGGGCGGCGGCGCCGTGCCGCCCTCCTCGAAGAAGCTGATCCACAGCTTGCTGCGGGCGAACTTCCACTCCACGTCTGCACGCTCCTGCCGAACGCATCAGATTGCTTACAAACTTTACGCCGGCGAGTCGGCAGCTTGGAAGAATATCTTTAATCACGGATCGGAAATAAATACTACGTGACTTGCATCACTGTGAATACTCTACCTACATGGTCCCAAGAGACGGAGATATTTGTGAAGTGTGAACTTACAGATATAAGTTGATACGAATGATTCATCATGGCGATAAGCAGATTCAGTAGGACGATGACGTTGATGACGGCGTAGGTGCCGAACATGAGCATGCCCCAAAAGCGCGTGAAGATCTTGATGCCGTCCAGCTCGAACGAGTCGAGGTCCACCAGCCCGAATGCTGCCCAAAAGAGGGTCTGCATGGTCTCAAATAAACTGCGAACGAAAAAATACATAAATTAAAATACTGTACAGGTTGGCTTTAATTCAAATTTAATTTATTCGACACACCAACCAGCAAATAATAGTATTATGTATATGTACTTAGAAAAACATACTTTGCAAATCGTCTCCAAACGATACAGGCATCAGGATCAGGTAGTGTTCCATTTGCTGCCGGAATATTGGTTCCGATTGTACATCGCTTCTTTTCCATGTCAGCGTAATACCACAATAGTTGATTCAGACCTGAAATACACAGGCTGTCGTTATCATGTTCATATTTAAAATTATAATAGTAACAAACCAGGCAAGGATGCACTTACCACAGGAGAAGGCAAATATGACTAAGATGTCTAATACGAAGAATTTCAAAATATCTAGCACCATCCGGCTCAAAGAAACTTGCAGAGGTCCGAGGTGTGGGTTCACGCTGAAGATGTAAACTAGTTTCAAGCTGCTGAAGATGTTCGCTGCCGAGAACAGACCCTCCGATAGCAGCATAGGGTCCCACGCATCCCATTTCTCTCGAGGTTGGTTCCATTGCAATCCTTGCGCCATTTCTCGACGAACCTGAAAATGTAAAGCAAGAGTTTAAAGACTTAAACATATGTGAGAGGGTTTTTAAGACAACGTACTACATATTTTAATTACCTGAAAATGTGAAACTATTCGCAACGCAACCGTGGCCACGTACAAAGAATTCGTAACGAAGTCTATAACGTTCCACATGTCGTGCACATATTCCCGCAGCCCCATGTCCCAGAGCTGTTTCACCTCGCTCCAAATCAAACCTGCACATAGAAATACTTTTTATACTTGCCTGTCACCGTCAGTCACATAACGCTACAAAGTAAGAAAAATATGAAACCTACCACTGACCCAGGCGAGGATGAGCCATTCGACCAAGGAGGGCGCCGCTCCTCGTCGCGACAAGGGCTCCGCGTGTGGGCTGCCCCACAGAAGGCCCCCCGCTGCCGTTTCTATTCGTTGCGATGCTAGTATTAGGAGAACTGAAAAAATACAGGAATCATAATCAACGAAAAAAATGTCACCGCTTAACAAAGAAACTCAAGTCATGCACAAACAGTTCCGTATTACAATATACTGACACAGGAACATGAAGTAGCTGGCCGAGTGGCAGAGGAACTTGATGAAGGGCTTGCGCAGCGTGCGGCCGGCGGCGGAGTGCGGCGCGGCCACGTAGGCCAGCGCGTACAGCGGGAACATGGCGCCGATGCGCACCATCTCGGCCGCCTGCAGCAGCATGTTCTTGCGCCGGAAGCCCGGCACGCTCTCGTACCAGATGGACGCCAGCAGCTGCTGCACGTTCGGGTGCGCCACGAACTGCCCGACCGAACGACACTCCGTTAACAGTAGCGAGCAACATAATTACTCGCGAGCGATAGGGATGGGTAGCTTGGGGTCATTGGACGGGATTCTACGTGCTCACGGACCAGGCTTTAGACTGTGTCATCTCTTTGCATAACCCTTCGAAGAAAAGACGATCTTAGGTGTCCTGTGCTCGACGACTGCCGCCTTTCGCAAGTGTGAGAAGATAAAATGTCGTTGAACGTTTCCTTTCATTCAAAAAAATAATATCAATGAATACAAAACTACCGAGTGGCATAAGCGAACGCTGTTAAGCTGTATTTCCCTTGCCTTCTTTTGGCGCAGCTTGATGGCCAGCTTGAGCCGCGACAGGCGCATGCGCTCGGGCGCGCCGGGCTCGGGCAGCGGCGCCTGCGGCGCGCCCGTCTCGTGGTTCAGCAGCACCTGCAGCTCGTGCGACGTGCGCGTGTGGTCCAGCAGCGCCGTCGCGAACTCCTGGCACTGCGCGCGCAGCTCCTGGTACTCAGTCTTGAACTCGTGCTCGAGCGCGGACAGCCGCCGCAGCTCCCAGGACAGCTCGAACGCGGTCAGTATGGGGTCCTGGAAATATGGACACGAACAAATTCTAACCACCAAAAATGCGTTACGAACTTTTGGCAACTGGAACTTTTGATTTTCAATTAGCTTTTGTCATACACAAATGTACCAGGTGTTATCGTGACTGATTCGTGAAAGTATATAACGGTCGTCTAACCTTCGAAGACAGCGCGATCAGCGACGGTGAGGCCAGAGCCCTGTAGGCGTTGATCCTGGAGCGCGAGTGGCGCAGCGAGTCCTCGCAGCGCGAGCGCACGCACTCGTCGCAGCCGCAGCGCACGTCGTGCGGCACGGGCAGCGCGGCGCCGCGGTCCAGCAGCAGCTTGATGATCTCGTAGCTGTCGCGGTGCGCCGCCAGGATCAGCGGCGTGATGTCCGCCGTGAACGTGGCCGTCTCCGGCGGCAGCGCCTCCCAGCTCTGCCGACAAGCACACCCGGTACTCCGCGGTTCGGCGAGATCGTGACTGCACAAGGCGGCGGGGAGGTACGTACGTGCAGCTCGCCCGGCTTGCGCGAGCGCTCCTCGTGGTCGAGCAGCGCCTCGACGGCCTCGACGAACTCCTCGGAGATGGCGTGCAGCAGCGCGTCGCGCGTCTCCACGCCGAACTCCAGCAGCAGCTCCACCATCTCGAGGTTCTCGTTGTCGATGGCCATGAGCAGCGCGCTGCGGCCCAGCGGGTCCACGCAGTCCACGTTGATGTGGCACGTGTCGCGCGCGCGCTGCAGCACGCGCCGCGTGCCCGCCACGTCGCCGCGCTCCACGCCCAGCAGGTACTTCTTCTCCTCCAGGGACAGCACGGCCATCTCCTGGTGCGGCCGCACCACGTTCTCCTCCTCTGTCATCCCGTGGATGCTGTGCCGCTGGAAACGACCGCCCACGTAAACGATTAGTCACTCCGCGTTCTGTTTTGTGACACCAAATTTGTAGCCCGTTCGTCGATAGCTAAGTATTTAGAGGATTAATGGTTACGATTTGACTATTCTTTCCTCGGACGACCTTTCGCATTATTTCCCCTTGTTCAAGGACTAAGCGAATAGACTATGGGTACTTTGGAACTATCGATTCCCGGTTGGTTTATCAATGTAAAAGGTTAGGAGATAATTGGATTGAAATCGATAAATTGACCGAGCCGGATTGGGGTCATTAATTTGATTGAAAGCTGGAAAACCGTACTTCCAAGGCGCTAGATAAGTAACATTGATTGTTGTTAGAAATGGCAGGAGGTGAATATTGTTGACGCCGTGAACGAAAACAAACGCCATGAACCTACACGTTCTTCGTCGCGGTGACATCCCTCGATAATGTAAATGTGTCGATGCAACTGTCTTGTTATGGCGAGATGACAGCGATAAGCGTGAAGTAGGTCACTTGTTGATAGGAGAGTGGAGCGGTCGGACGGCCGACAGCCTGCGTCCGCGGCCGGCGCGCCGCCCACCGCCGCCCATTGGAAGTGGGTCGCGGAGCTCGAGCCGGGGGGTGCTCGGGGTCTCGGAGTGCGCCTTCCATGTCTATCGTTTGTTGCAAATGACTTTATCGCTTGTAAAAGTCCTCATTATTTTTGTTCTCTCGAATATAATACTAGCATTACTTATGCAAACAACAGTCGATGAAGGACGAGGCGAGCATGGCGAGCGGACTGGGCGCGCTCCGGGCTCGAGCACGACACCCCCGGCCATTAATCGGCCCGTCTGATTCGATGAAATACCTACTACTTTTACGTAAATGTTTACACGGGAACTCTAATTTGAGACTCGCGCGAGAGCTTTCGTCGAGTACTCAAACCGATGAATATGATGTTTAAATTAACATGGATTGAATGTAAACACAGACAATGGTGAAAATGAGTTCGCATTTACGACTACCGTTTGTCAGAGGGTATTTAACGTTTCACTTTCATCATATTGAAGCTTCTATTTACATGAAAATATTATGTGTTGAGTAAAGATGATGGGCTTAAGAAAACAATTAGGTTTTAAAAGTTATTAATCAATTATAGCTGTGCCCGCGACTTCGTACCTACCTAACTACGCACGCGTGTAAATAGTTTGAATAATATTTCCCGTTTTTACAATATTTTTCTTTACTGCTCCGCCTCTATTGGCTGCAGGGTGGTGTTAAGCATATAGCTTTTCTTCATGTTAGATACAACATTAAAATATTTTTTTACATCGGACCAGTTAGTTCCTGAGATTAGCGCGTTCATGTAAACAAAGCAACAAACTCTTAAGTTTTATAATTAGTTAGATTCATTTTTTTTATCCACAACGAGGAAACTCTTGGCCTGTATCTCACGTGATGGTAAGTGATGATCAGGCCGAAGGTGGAAGCGAGCTTCACCCGGAATCCTCAACCACAGAGGAACTGGCTATCTTACCTCTAACTGCCGGAATACAACAATGCTGTTAACAATGTTGTTATGTTGCGTTTATGATTTATTCCGACGCTAACCTTTACTATAATGTTTAAATAGACTTGGTTGATTAGTGCGATTGGCGACGTTGTTATCACAACGTTGTTGTCACTATCGTGACAGATGCTACCTCGCCCTGAAAGCGCATTATAATTTTATTATTCATCAAACGATGGGAGCTCAGGGGCTCTTTAGTGTATATTTGATGAATAATAGGTAGTTTGTGATTCCTTTAAGCGTGCCGGGCTGATGCCTGTTTGAATAATTTCCCTGAGGGACTCCAAATGAGCCCACCATTACACACAGCAGCGCCGACGCCAACTACCCGCAAGCCCGCCGCGCGGCCACCGCAACGAGAGCATTATGTAAATTACGCTACTAATGTATGTAACCCTTTCCGGTATTCGTGATGAACAGTGTTAGTGAAACAGGCGGAGTAGGCATGTTCTGGTAGTGCAGTGCAGTAATTAAAGCTCTGAATAGAATGGATCTACAACGTGACTAGTATCTATATCGTACGTATGATTATTTCATTTCGATACTTCGCTAGGGTTCTTTAACAGATTACATTTATATTTATTACTTCTAAGTAATTGATTACATCGCCTGAATGAACTTTGGATTTGTTCGTTTGTTATCGTTCAAGCGAAAGAATACATCCAGAAGAGTACTTATACTGAGCGGCCATGTTCAATACATGAAACTCTACATGCATTTGCTTTTAGTTAAACAGTACAGGTGTTAAACGTGATTATCTTTATCTAATTATCAAGGTCAAATTCCTGCGCTCTGTTAAGAGTTTAGATACACGGGAAATAGTGTATCAAATTAAGCGATGCAATGCTTTCGAAGTGATATCTTAAGGATTTCACTATAGGCAGGCATAACGTCTATGGTGAAAGTGTGCACCTTGACTTTGTTGTCGAGCGGACGCGGCTCGGGCGCCAGCAGGTTGCCCATCTCCACGCGGCATGTGGAAGGGCGGCGCGCGTCGCTGCCGCCGCTGCTGCCGCCGCCGCCGCCGCCGCTGCCGCCGGACATCTCGGAGCCGCCGCTCTCTGCACAACACACACGGTCACCGGCGGCCGCGCCCCGGCGCGAGCGCAGCCGCCGCCGGGAGCTCACCTCGCGCACTCGCGCCGTCGCAATGCGGACGGGGATATATTTAGCGGCGATGCGGCCACCGCGCAACACTCACCGGCGCCGTCGCCGCCGCGTGCGCCATCCCGCGCCCGCTCCGTGAACTGAAACAAAGCGGCGGTGAGTGTGGGCTGGCGGGGCGAGGACGCGGCGGGGCCGGGGCGGACGCACCTGCACGCGGCGGGCGCGGCGCGCGGCGATCTGCCGCGAGTGCCGCCGCAGCGCCTCCAGCGCGCCGGGGCCGCCTGCCGGGACGCTCACCGGCCGCCCGCCGCCGCCATCTGCGACCGGAGCCCGACCCTGCAAAGTGAACGTTGCGAGTTCAAAGCTTCTTATTTACTGCTACTGCATCGTAAAAACTTTTGTTTACCTACTCCGTCGAGCGTTCATCGTATCATAAAATAATTACATGATTTCGCTCCGCTCGCTTCGAGCCGACCGTAAATACACGGTGGGTGTCTTTAGAGATGTTTTGATTAATATTGATAGACATAACATCGCCATTCTACTAATACATGACGCAGCAGTACGCTTAGTCTCACTCCCACATGAAAATCTCCCTTCTCTGCTTTGTTTAAAGCACGATCGGGGATAACCTTACCAATCTTACCATCTCACTAGTTCACAAATAAAATATTTAACGAATCGCGTTAAAAAATATTTGATTAAACCTCCTTTTCGAAGCCAAGAACAATTTTCACTAATTACTTATTTGATTAAAGTTCACTGTAGGTACTTTGATTTCATTCACACCGTTCGTTTCAGCCGAAAGACGTCCACTGCTGGATGAAGGCCTTCCAAGGATTTCCACAAAGACTGGTCCTGCGCCGCTCGCATCCAGGCACCTCCCGCGACCTTCACCAGATCGTCGGTCCACCTAGTGGGAGGCCTGCCCACGCTACGTTTTCATTCGCATAAACAAATATTTTATGTAATGTTGGTTATACTTTATGGTATAACCCCTTGCGTTGTTGAGGTTGCGTCCTATTATCACAAATCAATAACATAAAGCCTAATTTACCTTAGATACCTAAGCCAGTAACATTTCCCAAGGGCAGTGAACCAACGAATATACTTATACGTAAGTAGCCGGGGCTGATGAACACAAACACTTAACCAAATAACACTTTAATTTTGAATTGATTCGGAGTCATGGCAAATACGATATCGATCTTTAACGCATTATTTGTGCTGTTGGAACTCAACAACTCACCCGTTCCAAGGTACCAAGATACCAGTTGTCGGCTCTAAAACAAATACCGCGATGATTTATTGGCATTATTATTATCCGAGCTTCTCGGAGGAGCAGACACGCGCGCGATCATGACTTTACATTATTACTCGCTTTCATTAATTTGACTAAAAATAGAAAGCCAAGATAAACTATCCATTGAATGCTGAAGTCAGATTCACTCATGATCCGAATAGATAGAAAAAATTAGTCATAAAGATAAACTTGCGCGTTGCTTCTCGGTATTTTTTTGGCGGATATTGATGTCTGATTGGAATTGTTACTATTTATTGTACCTCGCTTATATTCGAAAATCTATTGTTAGGGTTCAGTGCCTCAAAAGGAAAAAACGAAACCCTTATAGGATCATTTAGTTGTCCGTCCGGCAAGTAATAGAGTCTAACGCTCGTATTCACAAACGAAGCTTGCTTAAGTGAAACAGAAAATTGAACGCACAGCGTTCAATAGAGCTCTGTGATTGGTTCTTGTATCGTGTGTAATCCTGTACGTCCACGCGCACTGTGAGACCTCATAGTAATGTTTGTGAATACGGGCGTTATACTATAAGTAAGGGTCTTTAAGCAAGCAACGGCGCGACGGTCAAAGTTTTAGTGTCATGTGTGAACCGTATGAAATGGCTTCATTAGCACAAGCATAAATAGATTTTATTTTTATGTTATTTAGTTTTCGATTTCTGACGAAGAATGAAAGAACCTACATACAGAAACCTCGGTAGGTGAGTCCGACTCGCACTTGCCCGGTTTTTTAATTGGTTCGAGTAGCTTGATGTAACGCTTAGCCCGTACACGTGTACCTACAATTTTCTATTTCTATTTCAGATATCTTTCTTCAGACAAGTTATTCTGCTTAAAGATTTTCCTCGTAACAAGAATACTTAATTTTATTCAACAAGAATACTTAATACATAATTATGTAAAGCGAATGGTTCGACTAAACAAAAGATACGCCCAGTATGTACCCATAAATTAGACGTATCCGAATTTTAATAATCCGCCCCTCTGAAATTCTAAAAACCCTTCAACGAATTTTCCCGTACATTTTCACTACGTGTCCGGCGTGCGGTGGCCGAGCTTTCTCCCTAATCTTGCTCCGTCACGTGGCGTCACGCGCCCCCGCGGCACAGCTGTAGTGTAGTGCAGTATTCGAGCAGCCGCAAACAACGACCCGTTATTAATCGCCTTGATTACTCGAGCTTCTGAAATGGTTATTCATGATTCATCGCGGGCAGTATGAGGGTTGACGCGCTAGCAAACGGACCGATATCTCATACGTTCGGATTGGATGTGTATCGGCGAGTGAGAGCTTAGGCGTGTAATCTCGTTTGGTCGCGTGTCATGACGCCGGTAATTGAGGGTGTCCGCCCAACAACGCCGGTGGCCGGTTTATTACAGGCTCGGCTGAACTGAACCTGAACACTCCGCCATAAGCATTCTCGTGACTGAGGGGTGCCGAATGAGTCTCACGAAAACTTTTCTCGTAGTACCTATTACTTCTTTTATTCAACGTAAAACAATATTTTCTTTGTTTACTTTATACGTCTATGATACTCATAATAATCCACACTTAGTATAGTACAAGGTTATTTGTAAAACACCAGCAACCTCGCAGGACTGGTTAACTCATATCCTATGCAATATTATACTCTTAATAATAAGTAGGTACTCAACAAAACAATTTATCAAGTTTTTATAGATAGAGTTTTTATATTAAGGCTACTTATGTTCATAAACGAAAGAACATTGCAATGTGCCCCTCGTTTAGTAGATGTATAAACATTACATTAAATTAACAGTAAATTAAATAATATTAATAATGATTATATTCTTGGACATTAAATCTCTGCGCTGTCCAGTCCCATACTAATAATATTTAGGCTATCCTATCGTATATCTAATGACATTTTTACCCCTTGAATTGTTGCTTTTATCACGGCAAAGCCACGGTGCGTGTAATCGCGCTTCGTCACGTACACCCTCCTCAGAGAGGCTCCCCGGCGCGGCTCCGCTGCATACTAAGAGCGCGGCCGCACTCGCAGCCTGCCCGACCTAATCGCCGATTGTTTCTTACATAAAACAACTAACATTATGCCACCATTTATTTATCATCGCTTAAGTATTGGTTTCTCTATTTATAAGCTGTGATGCTGAAACCTCGTTAATAAGCTCTAGCTTTAGAGTAGACCTACAACCAAATTCCGTAAAAAAACGTCTTCCGGTACTCAGAACAGACTTTATGCTACTACTTAGTTTAAAAAATCGTCATTCTTGAGACACGATACTTATTTTAGTAATTTGTATCAAAATCTTCATCGTGCAAAATGCCTGAAAATACCGACAAGTCATCGAAGCTTTATTGAGCCACGAAAGCTCTGCTCAAACTGTGATTGTGTTGTGTGAAGAGCTGTGGAGCGAGGGTGTCGCCAATTACAATTGTTTGACGTATAAACAAAGCCAACTAAATCCAATCTCCTCAATTATGAGTTCGACGGCGTAAGGGGCTTACCTACCCTCCGAGACATTGTTAGGCTGAGCCGTGCAGGAGCGGCTTCGAACGATTGGGAATTTGGCTGATGAGATGTTGATACCTACTCGTACTTATCTGCTGAGGGCAAATGTTGCTCTTAAAAAGTTAAAGACGATATTGTGCGCGATGAACTTCCTAACTGAGAAATTAATTTAAATGTCTTAAAAGCTTGTGACTGGTGAATTCTCAAGAATACCGATCTACACTTGTCGACGAACAATTCGGAATCGGCCTATGATTGATGAACTTTCAATCTCAAGTTTTTAAATTATATTTAGTCAGATCGACGCAAAGCAGCGCAAAGCCCATTTCATAACTTTTAATGGTTATTTATTAAGGAACACTAATAATATAAACTTCCTTATAGCTCTAATACTTTCAAAACATATAAAATCGAATTTAATCGAAAGCGATTGAATTAAATGTATTTCAAAAGAAAACTTAAGACATACAACCACAGCTGTTATGTCAGAGACTTTTATGAGGAGCCACATCAGTCTGTTGTTTAGCATGACTCGTAAAACAGTTGCTACAAACGGCAGCAAGCCCGCTAGCGGCCTTAAACGTGACTCCTTCCTTTCCTTTAAAAGTTAGAAGGACTCGCATAGAACTTAACTGCAAAGTCCAAATGGAACTAAGCGCCACTACAAAGGTTTGTTGACTAGACTAACACATATCGGCATATCCCACATTTCCACCACCGTTCGACAACAGACCCAGCCTATAATAGATTCGTTAAGTATTTCCTACTATAACGAATCCCCTTCAGGTTGGATGATAAAACCGGAGTGTACCAAAGCTCTTTGAAAAATGGGAATCTAATCCCATTTTGCGAAATGAAATCCGCTCAAGCCAAGCGCTCACCGCACCCTGAATAGTGCCAGTCAACGCTTTCGTTAGTAAATCCCAATAAAGATACAAAGAAGCTAACATTGAGAAGGCTTTTTTTACTTATCCATTTACGTATTGTATCATGTCGCTCTTTCGCAAATCATTTGAGTTCATTTGTTATGAAAACCGTCGCTTTGCGATTTGCAAATTTGACAAAGTGAGAATCTGGCACATTGCGACCGCTTGACAATTTGCGAATTTGACAATTTGCGCATAAACGTTTAATTTGGACTTGTTCAAATTTATCCCTACATCCCTATATAGCCTACTCTATTATCGTTTGAAGTACTTAGAAATCAAGATTTGCTGTCGACTAACATTTTAAAAAATGTCTGCTGTTTTTATTTATTTAATGTTGATGTGGTTAGTTAGCGATAGCTATTTGGTACCTACCGAACTTAAATACGCCAGCGGTCGTGGGTTCCATCCCCAGACATCACAGACAATTAAAAAATGTAACCGCCCCATAATATTATTTGATCAGATCCGACTAGAGTTGCGTCAAGTGTGAGCGTGGCTCGTGAAGCCTGCGCATGCAGGGCCCGCGTTGGTGAACGCCGCGGCATCATTGATGGCTGCGCCGAGGGCCCTCGGCCGTGAAGCGTGGGATTGCACCGCGCCAGCCTCGGGAAAATCTCATCCACTATCTGATAACGCTAATTCCAGCAATTTAGGCAAAAGGTACATAGAGCTATTTTCAGCATAATGTGAGTTCGCAAAACTTTAACGTTTAACCTTTTCGTTTTCTGAATCACAAAACGTTTCTCATAGGGGAGAGTTCGGTATATTGTACCGCCGGGTAAATTGTACCACCCTCATATTTCGTAAAGTATTTATTGAATGTCTGTAATTGCAACACTCAGCGATACACAACTAAAATCAATTAATATCGGCCATGTGGTTTTTGCCGTGACAACAAACACGTGTGTTTTATTTTGAAAAGTATTTTTTCATTGTTTTCAAGTAACTTTTGACAATACATGTTTAGATTGTAATTTTGTTAAATTTAATCACAGGGTGTTTCTAATATATTATTTAGAAGAGTAAATTAGTGTGGATTACAATTATTTGAAACATTTTTCGGTATTTATAAGCTATATTTTTTACCGATTTTTTAAAAGCACTATCACCTAGTCGGCTAAATTGTACCACACCAAGTTGTATGGAACTTTACCAAAGGATTTTGAATTTTTTTTTAGTAAATCATATTTAGAAGTTATAATAGCGTAGTTATGTTTGACTAACAATAAATGAAAGCAAAAGACTGGCAAAGTAGATTAGGTATAAGTGTGCGTTACGATAATTGGAATTACAAAACTTGTACTCAAAATCGTGATAACGTGTAAATCAATATCGATTGTCTATGTAATTAACTACTGTTCCTCTTCGTTTCCTAATTTGTTAAGAATGTATCGTATAATATTTTGCCATAGTTTTTTTAAAGGCTTGAAATTTATTGAAGTCCAATTTAGTAACCCTGTGGTACAAATTATCGAACCGGTTGGCTAAATTGGACCGAAGCTCTGAACTCGTACTTTGTGGATTTGTGCTAAATATACAACAATCATGTTAATTAATACTTATGAAATAGTAAGTTGAATAATGTATCTTTTATTATATACCATGGACATTAGCAAAAACAAACGAAAACTATGTGTAAAATGGGATTGAAAAAAACTGGTCCAAATTAGCGGACTCTCCCTTAAGTACTCATAACTCGATATAAGTGCCTTCTTCCTGTGACGTGGATTTGCGGACTAGTCCGCATGCGGGCTGTCCGCATCTCGTTATTTCATACTGTTTTTCCTATTACGCGGGTTACACGCACGCCACAGATCAGAGACCATATCATAAAAAAAACTCAATTTAATTTTGCAAATAGGCTTTTAAAAAGCACTTTTACACGTCCCAGTATTAACCCTACTATTGTTTCGGTACAATAAATGGGCCAGTGCTGAGAAGTATCCGTATGCGTGATGAAATTCGCATTACAGGAAAAAGGCACTAAAGCCCAGAACAGACGGTGAAACGCAACTAAGTTTCTGCCATAGCATCCGTTGAGAGACCACACATGACGCGACCAGTTTGATACTTTCAGTTTCAGTTTCATTCATAAGAATCATCAGAAAGTTGCAGTTTCGTTGCAGTTGCGATTCACCGTCTGTTCTGGGCCTAAGTGTGTTGTATTTTAACTGCAATTGTTTTAATTTTTAGTCGTCTGCAGCCGTCTATGTTATTACTAAAATAATTTATATTTCCAATACATATTATATTTATATTAAACTAGCGACCCGCCCCGGCTTCGCACGGTTGCAATGGAATTTCTCGACTTTTCTCCTCTACATATTAAACATGTTTTATGCATATAAACCTACCTCTTGAATCACTCTATCTATTATAAACCGCATCAAATTCCGTTGCATAGTTTTAAAGATCTAAGCATACATAGGGACAGACAGACAGGAAAGCGACTTTGTTTTATAATATGTAGTGATGATTAGTGATATATATGTCGCAGTCGGATTGTATAATCCGCCGTTTTACATTACCACTAGGCATTTTACATTACAGCTCTGTTTTGTAATACGGCGGTTCAACGTTTAGGCGGATTGTCATTGCGATACGTTCTTCAATACGGCGGCCCACGTTTAGCCGCATCGTACTACTATTTAGATTGTAGGGTGACCATACTTACAAAATAAAACAATGTTTAATGAAAATTAATTTTAATTTTAATAAGACAGATTTCTTCTCACGATATTCCTTAGTAATTAAGTAACAATTATTATCTTCGTTACTGTAAGTAAGTAAATTATATATTTGGCTTTAGTCATTTAAACTTTTTTTGAAAATTAATAATGTAATAAAATATTTGGCTTTAGTCATTTTTAAACATAATGAGTAATCACAAGGAACCTACATACCTACATATTGAAATAAAATATATCTCAAAACAATTAAACTTTTCTAAAAATTTTAAGAAATTATTAGATATCTGGCTTTAGTCTTTTTGCACCAATAATATTTAGTAGGATTCCGCCGAACACCAGAATCCATAGCCACTTTAGCGGTTTTGATAACCTCCAAAACTCGGTCCCTTGTCCACGGTTTTTTGACTGTTCCACATCGTGAAGAATAGAAATTATTCAATTGCAAGTTAAAATTGTTCTTAAACTCACTGTCGACACACATATTTATAACGTTTTCTTTATTAGATTCAGAAATAACTCCGTAATTTAGCAACACATTTTCTGCATCCGACGCCATTGTTTTTGTTATGTCAGGCAGCGCCACGTTATTGAAAATGGGAACTAAAAACTGTCAAAGCGGCGGGTAATGACACGCTGTTTTACATTGCGGCTAGCTGTATTGAAGAACGTTTGGCGCCGAATACATTCCGGCGGATTTTCATTCAGCCGTATTCAATCCGCCTAAACGTTAAGCCGCCGTATTACAAAACAGAGCTGTAATGTAAAATGCCTAGTGGTAATGTAAAACGGCGGATTATACAATCCGACTGCGACATATCGATAGTAGAGGGCAGCGCGTAAAATAAACAAGCAAACATATGGCAACGCTAACGATTGTAACGGTACAGAATATTACATATTTCGTGGGTGTTACCACACACAGTTGGGTTTATCATGTCAAATGTTAACTTTTAAATTAAATCAATTTGTGAACTCAGATCCTGCGACATATAATCTCTCTGGCCGTACTTTTTTACATATTACGATAACGTGTTTACAGGTCACGACAAAAATAGATTGTAATCCCCTGTGCCTGCGCCTGGCGCACGGCAGATATCGATGTTATGGCACGGCTACAGCACTTTATGGAACTACTTCCGCGCCGTGGATTATTATTATGACCTAATTTATAGAGACGATTTGGAACGTATCAAGCCGGAAATCTATTTATGATAATCCACTCGGCGGTATTGTTGTAATACAAAGCAAAGCTTTTGAGAGCTTAATGACCTCATTATTCAAATCAGAGGCTGCAGACGATAACGTCCCCATAAAATATAGAGTTATGGTAATACGAGTCGTCGCAGTGGATTACAAATGATACAAGCTGTTTTTTATTTTCGCACAATATTTTCCTTAATTCTCAAAACACGCACAGTCGAGTGTGTCGGTCGTTTGTTGCCGGCGTCGGCGTCCGCGGCGTCAATTAGTGGCGCGTTAAACTCATTCATTTGCCCAGCGTGAAGTTCATTGAGTGCCGCCGGGTGATCGCAACATCCACGGTGACGCGTTCGAGAAACTTTACCTACAGAACGGTCCGTGCAACCGTGCCGGCGCGCGGAGGGTGCACGCGAGCGCGGCGGTGCCGGTGCAGGCGGGCGGCGTCGCCAGCGGCGCTCGTAAATTCTATTTCGGCAGGAACTTGTGAATCGAGCACCTACACTAGCGCCGAGCCAGCGGCGAGCGCGGGCGGAGAGCGGAGGGAACACGTGGCGCGCCGGGCGCGGCGCGAGGCATGCGGGCGAGTCGTCGACAGCCGCGCGCGCCGCGCACTGCCGCCGCCCGCCGCCGCCCGCCCTGCCGCCGCCCGCCCGCGCTCTCCGCCCGCCTCGTCCGCCCTCGGCCACAGTGCACGTGCTTCCAGTAATTTGAGCGTTCGTTTGCTTTGCTCTTGTCATTCTCCGTTGAATGATTCTTTTTCATTTGCACAAAAACTATTAACGAAGGATACGGCAACACGGTAAACATAAACAGAACAGANACATAAACAGAACAGAAAAGTAGTAAATTTGTTAGTATCTCTGACACCGTATTTTCAATATTATATGTCAATTGCCGCGTCTAGTCCTCGAGTAGAATCGCAGATCTTTAATTCAGGCTCCCCCCTAATCCTGCTCTCCCCACCACCTCTCACCTCCGTGTACGTCATACCTGTAGGATACAAGTAGACACACATTTTTCCTACTGGTGTACCCCTGCACTGTGTCACTGACATCGTTCGTGAGAAATCGATTACTTTTAAGCGGACTACTGAAAAACCATTTCGATCGTTGACTGAACGACCCGAGCCGATAGATCACACACGTGACCACTCGTGCCGCCCTCCGGCACTCCCGAGTTCCTCCCGCACGCCCTCTGTCGTGGAGCCGCCGCTTGTTCCAATTAACCCTTTCATACTTAGACTAAAACCCTTGGGTTTACTTATAGGTAATTTTTATTAAACACTCTTAGAACAATGATAATTAACGAATTTTTTAAATTCAACAGGAAAAATTACGAGCTTTTAGGATGGGGGAGAGCTTTACATTAGAAATATTACTTTAAAACCCCACAAAAAACATTCAGAAGTAACTAAACTTTCAATTTGTTACTCCAGTAAAAATAGCCTCAATTTTTCCTAAAAGAAAACTTGCAAGCGGCTATATTTCAGAAGGAAAGCTCCCGCCTGATAATACTAGCCATTTTCTTCTTCATTGGCCCATTTTGTGACGATCTCGTTTACATGAGGCGACACCGCGGAATACGCAAAAGAAAAGGAAATTTGCCCCAAAAATGTTGCGAAACGTAGTTCGAGAACACGTTCTCTTAAGGCGATTAGAGTCCTCAATGACCTTGAGCGTTTGACCTTCACGCTTCGCACAACACCCGCGCACCCCGCACGAAAACTCCGATTTGACACCGATCAAAATTACACGGGCATAGGTAGGTACAGAATAGAAGCTCTTTCTTCATATATTTANTTGTATTGTGTCTTGGGAATCAATATTTGTGCATGATGATTGCGCCTCCCAATAATATTTGGTAGTATATAACTTCAGCCAAAAGTAGGTCGTGGCTGCCGGTTCGGTGCGACTGATGCGCGGCGTGCCGCGGGCCGCCTTTGATCACCTTCCGACTCCAACATAGTTTAACATTGTTCCGTAGATAAGCGCGGCCATATCCGGGTCAGCGGCGGCGTCATGTCGGTCACCTCCAGCGCGGGTCGTCCAGGAACGGAATACATACAATGACTTCCAGGGTACGATTGATTGATGGGCTTGGGAGCACATTAATCTTATCGATATGGTAATAGCACTCCACGTCTCGAAAATAGATTTATTATGTTGAAAACTTTCGGCCGGCTTTTGTTGTGTTGACCATTTTCTTATCGTTCCGAAGCCGTCTTTGTCTTTGACGGATGGATATCATCATGATTTTGAGATCAAATTACAAGATCGTGTTTAAGTGACATTTGTATTTCGGCTTCAGGTTCAGTTCGAACTTTGAGGTAATGAGGCGCGGGGAGCACTCGGCGCAATTAGGCCGCCCCGCGCGCGGCGTGCACCCGGCCCCGACCACTACCCTCGATCACTTACGAAACTTCTCGTCGACTTAAAAGCACGCAATTTCTGAAACTTTATTAGTTAAACTTATGATGGAAGATAAATTTGCTTCTTCGAGAAATAATGGTATACCGACCTAAATCAAAACAAAGCTAATAATACAACCGTCGCATCCCCAGATTGTTTGAATTTCTGCGGACAAGCGGCTCCTCGGCATTAGGTACATTATTATCCTCTAAAATACGAAGCCTCCGTTCCGTTCCAAAATTCATAAAATACTCCGCTGTGAAAGGCGAACAAGCCGTCGCAATAAGATTATCTCGGAAGAAGGTACGTTCTTTCAGGAATTCTTTCTTTGATCTCCTAATAATCACGAGCACGAACGAGCCTCTGAATTGTCGACAATATTTTACTTATGACTCAAATTTACTATAGAACTCCGGGCAGGTAGGAATTATAAAAATGAGCGAAAGGTTAGGTAAGTAGATAAGTGTTGATACAACAATCACTGAATTGAGGAATGTACCGGATTCTTTTAGCGAGTCAGGAGGCGAGGCTGCTTGCCATTGTTCCCACCACTTTGTCAAATATAGCTTCAAAGAGCTACTTAGTAAAACAAACGCGCGCGCGGGTTTATGTCTGCAATCAGTCGTTAAAGCGTTTATGCGCTCGATCTCGCGAAACTTTGTTGTTTCCGCGTACAAAAAACGAATGGATGCGAACGTAAGTACGACTGCGCGCGCAAAAGTACGTAAACATAGCCTGATTCATTACTTCAGTTTCATGGCACAATAAAAATTACGCACAGCAACACAATTATAAATTGTTAATTGCTTCACACTTTTAACATCGATCGTTCCAATTTACTTACACTTCAAGTAGGCATTTTATATGACAGATAAGTTTACGTATTTACTGTGCATTTTAGGTATTCGACTCGATATAAATACTTATAAATGATTTCTGACGCCTCATTAGCCGAATAAGCCACGCGTAGCGGGCCTGCAGGAGTACGCTTACTGCGAGTGTCATCTGAGCATTATGTTGGCACAAAATAATGTTGCCTCCTCGTCCTCGCCGCTTATCGGGATATAAGTCAGTGTACATGTCAATCAGCGAAATTAGCTCATTTCGTCACTGCAATATGGTCGGCGTTTAAGTATTGTGCTTCAGATAATAACCACTTTTCATTATCATTGATAAATATTATCATTAGGTACCTACCTAATGATAATATTTATCCATAGTATTTATTACTGATTCCCTATCAGACAACCTTTATTACGAATATCGAAATACGTTCAGCAGTTACTCATAAACACTACGTTACGCAGACTCGGCCAACTAATAGCATGCCGAGGATGACTCTACAAGAACCTGGCTTGCGAATATTAATTGTCCTGTGCACCTGTGCTACCGATTCGAAGATGATAGTTTATGCTATATAGATAATAATTATTTCTTACTACCTCCATAAGTAGGTACTACTAACCCTAATTACATAATATGATTTCCAAAATAAATTGGGTCTGAAAAAAATACAGTAGGTAGGGACACCGTTTTTTCGATATTTTTCCATGAATATTACCTCTAAGAGTTAGACGAGTTGGAATAGAAATGTCGTTCACTACCAATACCTCCCGCGATATATTATCTACTTCGGATTGGAGTGATTCCCGGTAGTTTACGAGGGTGGGTCAGGTTGATAAGACGTTGCACCGTGTCATGCGGCGGGTGGCGTGCGGCGCAGTGCTCCGCTGACCTACATCGGGCGGCTAATCACGCCGCGTAAAAAACGCTTGCGTGCGCGCGGCGGGCGGGCGCCGGTCGACGACCGCCGCGGTGGCGGCCCTTCACCCGCGATACCCAGAACTTTTCGCCGGTGGTGGGCTTCGATTGTAATGCAGCAGGCGCCTCGCATGCGCCGCGCCACGGCCGCTGCCGCCGCCGGTACCACAGCCTTCCGAAATCAAAACGGTGGCGATGGAACACGAAGCGCGCATGTCAAACAATCTTATCGTAATGGGTTTAGAAGTTTATAGACATTTGCTTTCAAAGATTTGGGAGCCTAAATGAAGTCACAAAACAAAATCTATAAAGATTATAAATTAACGCTGCATCCACGACTTCAGAAGTGTTTCACTGACCACAACCAGTGACACGTCTGCACGAATGTTTGACAATGACGTTAGTATACATACATATCTAATTACATTTGGTGAAATAAAACGTTAGGATTAACCTTGATCGCTCGCATGCCGCGGTAACCTGCTCCTCCGCGACAATAGATTGCCCCGCGAGACTCGGAGGAGTGCCGTAATAACTCTCTATTACGCCTCCACTTAGCGAACGCCAGCCAGACGTGGGTCGACTTTGATAGAGGTAAGTTAGACTTATTCGATTTTGTGTATTGTAGTGCCTTGATGAAATTAATAATGTTTTATCTTTAATTGCAAATATTTGTATTTTTTTAAATTGAAAACAAAATAGCAAATCTTTATTTTGTTTATGATAACAGGTTACTCCAGATAATCGTAGCTACGGATTGCTCCAAAACATCTACTTAACCGAAAGGGGCGAGTGTGAATGATGAGAGATGCGTGAGGGACGGTGCAGATAAGGTTTGCGTTCGTAACGAACCCGGCAGTCCGGACCGTGACATCCGGGGCCTATGGTAATTCACCCGGGCTCGGCGGGGATCGCGTTGACCGCTTTAAAATTAATATTGTTTTAGAGTTCTTTGGTTTTAAAACCCCATGAAACCAGCTTAAACAGTCAAAATAAACCCTTTGAATAAGTAATTAATCTGATTTTTCTTGTTATTGGAGTAGATCCCCCCTGCCTGTATTGTCTCGCATTGTCAACATTGAACTTTTAAGAATCGCAGTAAAATAAATTACGAAACTGAATAAACTTAATTTACTTCTTTCAGGTACGTAAGGCTCTAGCCCTACGTGAGCAATAACGACACTCAACACCATTATAACTTGAACAAAAACTTGTATTGCTTAATGCTTTGCCAAATGATACAAGTTTGTAGAGACAACTTTGAAGTTTTGAAATAGCAGCGGTTTCCTATTGTTAGTTTGTCCTATATTGCGTTAAAGTATCCGACAAACTAAGCAATATGACGCTTATGTGAAATAACAACGACGTAGCTATCGCGGGGATCACAGTTAGGGACAGTACCAGAATTACC